TGGCACAGGACAGAGCGGAGGTTAGGGCTGTTGTACATAGGGTCGCTATGAGTCGCAGGTGACTCGACGGCACATAACAACAACAACAACAACAATTATTTTTCTATACATTTGAAAACATTTTGTAATAATAAAAGTCTTACAGATAAAAATTAAATTGTAATTCATTGAATTAAAACGAAAAAAGAATTAAATATATGAAAAAGGAATGAAATGTAAATAGATTATATGTTTATACATATGTACCTTTATGCATAAACAACTCATTGCTTTCAAATCAGAATTGTCTCATAGCTGACCCCTCTAGTGGATCTTCAGAGGTGGTAAATCACACAGGAGTCGTTTGCCCATCTTTCTCCCTTGAGGAGCTAGGAGATTTGAATTGACTGCCTTTAGAATGGGAGTGTAACTCTCACCCACTAAGCCATCAGACATTCCTATCTTTATGGAGAAGTGCCTATATTTGCAGATGTGTACAAGGAGAACCGGAACAGAATCCTCAAAATGGAGATATTGGAGGAGAAAAGCTTTCACTTTTTCATGTTGACATTTCTGCACTGTTAGAGTGCTCTACAGTGAGCATGTTTTACTTTTGTAATTACATTTTCTTCCCTGTAAGGGGAAACAAATAACTTGACTGTATCTAAAAAAGAAAAAGTACTGTAAAATGTAAAGATCTAAATATTGATAATTACAGGGCTTGAGAAATAAGGGCAGAAGAATGAAAGCATTCCTTAGAAACAGGTGAAGCAAGAGAGTCCCAGAATGAGGCAGAGAGAGGTGAACCTATCTCTCATCATAAACAGTAGCGTGTGCAGCCATTACTCTGGTCTGGCTCAGCAAACTGCGTGAGCAGGCTGTACAGAATTGGCCTCCCATAAAGGACATCTCTCTAAGGTGAAGGTCCAAGAGATCACCAGCTGTCATCAGAATGCTGTGCACATCAATACGTACCTTCAAGGCCTCGCTCATTCCCCGGCCAATCACAAGGGTCTGCACGCCCTTCCGGACAACCTCTTCTACATCTGCAGGCTGCACGCCAGGGGAATGCTGGATGTGGAAAGAGAAAAGTCTCCTCTTCTAATCCTTCTTTGCAACAGGTGTTCTTATGGGATTCAGTCAAGAAATATTTACTGAGGTTTATTCTGGGCCAAACATTGTTCTGAGCCCTAGGTATATCAGAGAAGATACAGCGCTGCCCTTAATGAGTTCCAAAACCCATTGTCTGTGAGTATGCTCTAACCCACAGCCAAGCTCCACTGGGTTTGCCAGGCTGTTATATCTGTACAGGAGGAGCCTTTCCAACTTTTTCCCGGGGAGCAGCTGGGGGATTCCAACCACCAATCTTTTGGTTAATGATCCAGTAGTTTACCAAGGCTGTTTAACAAGCTTACTTAAACCTAGTGAAAAATTTAGAAAAACAGAAAGGAAATACAATTGCATTTGAGCTGCTGTAAGGAACTGGTTCAGGGTATTATGAGAACACAGAGAAATGGCATCTTATTCAGACCTGTGAGGGGAATGCATCCCAGAGGATGGTGGCACGAGATGGGAAGGCAATCCAAAGGAAGTGACAGATATATTGAGACCAAGAATACAATCAGGCATTAGACAGCTTAGGAGGAAGTCAAGTGAGCAGGACATCCATGCAAGGGAACAGCATGTACAAAAGCTCAGAGGAAACCAAAAACCTTGTGAACCAAGAAGCTAGTAAACAGTTCAGTATGATTGGAGTGTGGAGAGACAAGTGAGGGAGACAAAAAGAAATAAAGTAATGGACTTGCATGTCATGTTAAATCCAGATTTTTTTTAAAATGTCATAAGAAATGCTTAAGTTTTCCTTTAATTTTTTAAAAAATATAGGCTTTGTGTGAAACTTTACAGAGTAAATCAGTTTACCATCCAATAGTTTATAAAAAGTTTTATGACATTGGTTACGTTTTTTTTACAATGTGTCAGCACTCTTAGGATTTCTGCCCTGAGTTTCCTTGTTTCTTTTTTGTCTAGACTCTTTCCTGTCTTATCTTTGTTTCTAGGAAAATGTCCTTTTGATTTTATGCAATTGATTGTTCCAGTCTCTGGCAGACCAGGAAGTCTGATCTGTTTATAATTTGCTCTTTTCTCCTCCTCTGCCCAGGACACTATATATTGTGTTGCAGGTCAGAGTGGTTTAGTGGTTTAGTGTTAGCCTGGTCTCAGGGTCCTGCAGGCTATGGTTATACTTTAGCCTACCTGTTCTCTTGAATCTGGCTTCTTTAATAGTTAGCTTGTTTGTAAGCTTTTAAGACCCCAGGTACTACTCACCAAGTAGGATGAAGAACACTGTCATTATAAACTATGTTGTGCCATCAGACATAGATGACCTCAAGTCTATGGTGTTTTGTCTTCAAGGATAAGAAATGCTTAATTATGTTTCAGAAATTGCCATGATTGTGGCTCTGTGTGCTGTATTCTCTCTATACATATACAGGCCACACCAACAATTATATATGCAAGACACACGGCTGACCCTCCGGCAGCTTTTCAGAGACTGTTAATCTTACTAGAGGAAATTGTCCATCTTTCTCCCATGGAGCTGCTGGTGGATTTGAACCGTGTGCCTTTGAAAATGCAGCACAGCTTCTTACCACTAGGCCACCAGATATTCACAATCAAATCTGTATCTGCAAGTGGGTACTGCTCCTTTAAGCAGTCCTAGATGGCCTAGTGGATGAGGAGTTGCCCTGCTGACCCAAAGGTGGATGGTTTTAATCCACTACTTGCTCTGTGGTAGAAATGTGGGCAGTCTCCTCCTATGCAGTTTAACACCTCTGAAAACCTGCAGGCAGGCCAGCTATGAGTCAGTTCCAACATTAAGTGAATGAATGAGCAATACCTCTTCAGGATACCCATCTGCTTTTGTGTCTATTTGTAGACTATTGTTTGTGAATACTATTGTTGCAGGATCATCTTGTTACCGCTGCTACTGTGCTGCTGTGTGCCATGGAGTCGAATTCTCTCTTGCTTTCAGTGTCTTTTTTAGCCTTGGTCATATTGTGCTGACTGCTCCCACTGCCTTTCCCTTCACCATTATTAACACGTATTTTCTATCTAGTTAATGATTTTCAGTCTCTCCTTATTCCATCCTTGGTAACCACCAAATAATTATTTTTTTTTGTGTGTGCATGAATTTTTTTCTTGGTTTTTTTTGTTTATAATAGCGGTCATTTCCAAAATTTATCCTTTCATGATTGACTTATTTTACTAAGTATATGCCCTCCAAATTAATTCATGTTGTGAGATGTTTTGCAAATTTGTGATTATTCTTTATAATTACACAATATTCCTTTGTGCAGATGTAGCAAAGGTTGCATTCCCATCCACCCACTGATAGATATTTAGTTTCTTTCTTTTTGCGATTGTGAATAATGCTGCATTGAACATGAGTGCATACAGGCCTTTTTGTTTCACTAATCTTATTCTCTTAGCCTATATACCTAAGGGTGAGATTGCTGGGTCATATAATATTTCCATTTCCAGATTTTCAAGTACATGCCATACTGTTTCCCAGTGTAGTACCATTTTACATTCCTACCAGCTGTGTCGAAGTGGAGAAGAGTACTTAATATCCCATAGAATGGCAAAGTAACAAACACATGTGTTTTGGAGAATGTACAACCAGGATGTTCCTTGCCTCACATGTTGTAAGGAGAGGCTATTCCTTAGAAAGGGCCATCATGTTTGGAAAGGTGGTGCTGTGGTGCTCAAGAAGAGTATTGACTATCCCTTGGACTGCTAGGAGAACAAACAGGTTTGCCCTAGAGAAGGTGAAGCCAGTCTGCTCCTTGGAGGCAAGGATTCTGAAGCTTCATTTGACATGCTTTGGACATGTTACAAGGAGGAACTGGTCCTTGGAGAGGGATGTCATGCTTGGCACAGTGGAAGAGAGGAAGACCTCCAATCAGATGGATTGATTCAGTCACTGGGGCAATGAAGATAGGCATATCAGAGACTAAGGTTGGCATAGGACAGAGCAGGGTTTAGGGCTCTTGTACATAGGGTCACTATTAGTCGCAAGCAACTCGACAGCACATAATAACAACAAACCTTAGTGAAATTAGATGGATTGGCTCTGGTCAATTTGAATCAGACAATCACATGTTATACTATTCAGGGAATGAAAAAGGAAGAATGTTATTTCATTCATAGTTAAAAATACAATTTCACATTCTATCTGAAAGTACAATGTTGTGATAGGATGATATCCATAAGTAGTTAAGAAAGACCTGTAACTATAATTATTACTGAAATATATGTTCAACAACTGACCCCAAAGAAAAGGAAGATTTTTTTTACAGTGTGTTGCAGTCTGAAATTGACCACATGTGCTGTCAAGGCGCATTAATGAAGGGCCACAATGGTGGGCCAGTCTAACACTGCAGCGTCGGGCCGGTGGCTGAATAGTACTCGAAAATAGTATTGCAATGCTGCAGGATTCAATAACTCAGATTATTGTGAGATGATACATGAGGAAGAGGATGTAAAAGAAGCCATAAGGAGGCTTCCTGAGCTCCCTTATAATGACAGGATGTTTCACATAAAAAGAGCCCTGGACCTAGCCATGCCGCAATGGATCTTTCCTAAAGAACACTGGACCAAGTATGAAGAGGACAAATTCTACCTTGAACCATATCAGAAAGAGGTTATTCAAGAAGGAAAAGAGAAAAAAGGGTGAAGAAATAGTCATGTAACTGAAATCTGTGGATGCAGCTATCTTCAAAAGATTTTTATGATGTTGGTTAAACATGAAATATCTAATTTAAGAACTAAAAAAAATGAATGCATTAATGGTAATTGGTAAGTAGAATACAATGAAGAAGGAATGGTAGTCAGAAAGTAGCAACGTGAACAGTCACCTGCTTCATGACTGATTTAGGCACAAAACCAGAATTTGACAAAAGCCAAAGGGTTACTCCAAGCAGGAGTAGATGCAGTATGTTGTTATGTGCCATTGAGTCGCCTGCAACTCATAACGACCCTCTGCAGGCTTTGAACCCTGCTCAATCCTGAGCCGGTTTCACTGTCTCTGACACACCTACCCCTATTACCATATAGATGCAGTATATAGTTCTGGATTTTACCAAGTCTCTTTGTGGGGTGAGTAGCCAGCTTCTGGTGACATTCTTCATAGAATCAATGTTCCAGAGCTAACAACAAAAGCAAATTCTCTCTGCTATCTTATAATATACAAGCTTACTTTATCAGCACCTTGTTGAGGAATTTCCACCAAGTCTGTCTCTCTCTCGCTCTATACCCTGGAGTCAGATCTGGCCATACCCACCCTCCATTGGGTTTGTGAGGCTGTAAATCTCCATGGGAGGAGACTATTCATCTTCGTCCCATGGAGCCATTGGTGGATTCGAACCCTGGAGATGTACTATGAGACATGCTGCCATTGAGTTAACTGCACAACTTGCTATGTACTCATCAGAGTTCCCTCAGATGGCACGGGGTCCAGTAAACAGTCTTCTAAATGAGAACATCTGAACTAAACTGCTTATCAAAGGGCGCATGCTCACGTTGGGAGAAGATGCAGAGCTCGTGCCCAGGCATCTTTGAACAGCATCTCTGCTTCTAGCTTTCCTTGTTGCCAACAAAGTTCTGAAGTGGTTTGGGAAGGTTAAATTATTTTCCTATAACACTGTTGAGGTTCAAAAATTTAAGGCAAAGCAAAAGAGATGGGGGGCTATTTTTTCACTTGGTTACAACACTTGGTTCTTAAGAATATAATACGATTGGATTAATGATCCTTTCTAGTATTATGGCCCTGTGATCAATTCTGGAACCACTTGGATCTGAATAGATATGATTTAAAGAACCTAAACATTTTTCTAAGGAGAATTCCCCCCCCCCCCGTACATAGATCAGAGTTGGGGAGTTTTACCTTTCCTAAGTAAATGCATTTCCTAGAATTACTGAACCACTACTTCACTTAACAAGGAACATCACCTACTCCGAAGAGGACCGTGATCCCCAGCCTCTAAGCTTTCATTCCAGTGTAGTGAAACAAG